ACCCACAAGGCAAATAACAACTAGCCACAGGGAACATGTCCCCTGGGCCAGGCACTGTGTTGGGTGCCATCTGGGCCCTGTTTCGTGGACGCCCCCCAAACTACCACGGGGTAGGAGCTGTTGTTCTGACTCCTTTATAGGAGCAAAGCAAAGATTTTGAGAGAGTAAAGGACTTTCTAGAAGTCACAAAGCAAGGCAGCAATGTCTGTCTGACCCCAGAGGTATTGGTCCTAACTCCTATAACAGATTTTAGAGCAGCTGCCATTTATGGGTTGCTCATATCAAAATCTCCCACCTACCCACCCAGCCCTGCAAAGGAGCAGAACCGGGATCATCCCCCGGCCCCTTGGAGGCCCTCTTCTTCATTCCACCTTGCTCTGGCCACATCGTAAGGGTTTGAGGGCTCTTTGGCCTCAGTCTGTCCATCTGCAAAAGGGAAAGTTGATCATCCCAGCCCCTTCCTGTCCAAAGGAGTAGGAGGAGCACACAGGGTCAGTGGCCTGGACAAGTTCATGCTTCTGACACTGAAGCCTGGCTCAAGGACCTGAAGCACCCAGAGAAGAGCCAGACCCTCCCCAGGAAGCCATGAGCTTGCAGACGCAGCTGCTTCCGAGCACAGGCCCCTGCAGGAGCCACCTCCCTCTGGTCTTCACGGTCTTCACCATCACCATCGCTAATAACGACATCAATCAGGTTGACCACGTTTCACACCATTACTCGCAGCTCAGCAGGAATCTCCTACTTTCCCCCCTCACCCACCACCTTCCAGGAAGCAAAGAGCTTTCCAGAAGGGAAGAGAATGAAACCAACATTTTTCTGAGTACCTACTGTGTGTGCACGGCAACTGGCTAAGGCCTTTTTACAACGCCGCGATGTAGGGATGGCTCTCTTTGACAGAGGAAGAAACTGGGGCGCAGAGGAGTGAATGCACGTGTCCAAGGTCACGCAAAGCTGGGACAAGAACAACCACAGCAGTGACGTATCAGTGAGCACCAGCTGGCTCAGTGCCAGGCATGAGCACAGTCCCATTGAAATATTACCATTTCCATTTTCAGATGAGGAAACCGAGGCTTGAAGCAAAGAACAGACCTGTCTGAGGTCACATGCTGCTTAAATGTGAGCAGCAGAGTGGCACAGGGAGGACAGGGTGGCTCTCTGTTCAGGCAGAAGCATGCTCGCGTCATGGTTCAGTCATGAACTTAGCGATCGCAAGCAAACTTCATCACCTCTCTGAGCCTCACTTTCCTCATCTGAAAAGGGGGATAATAACATCTCTCCTATTGTGTGGAATAACAATAATAAGGACAAAAACGGTCAAACAGCTAATGTTTATCGATTGTTTAGCATGTACCAGGCACTTTGCCAAGCACTTTACATATGTAAGCTCATTTGGTTAAATGAGGTAATGCATAGAAAGTGCTTAGCACAGGACTCTAGAAATGGGAGCAATAATGATGATGATGAAGAAATGGACGATGACTCCCTAGAGCAAATCTAGGTTCATCTTCTTACGGGAAGAATAAAGTATCCTGTAAGGTTGCAGGAAGGAGGTGGATCAGGAAAGAAGGGCAGGGTCTGGATAGGGGAAGGAAGAGGGGAAACACATAAACAAAAAAGGGGGGGTGAATAGCATTAATAATGTTAAGATGATACACCAAGTATAATAGAAGCCAGGAAAGCAAAGGACTCAAGATATTCTACAGAATGGAACCAGACCGAGATGCACTCAAACCTCCAGGCCAGCCCAGAACTCATCCCCGAGTCCCAGCTGGGCAGAGCTGGCAGGACCCCAGAGAGACAGATCAAGTGGTTCTTCGCAGTTTACAAACAGGAAAACTGAGGCTTGGGGAAAAGACTTGCCCAAGTTCACAGGATGTCAGTGGCAGAGCTGGGCTTGAATCCAGGCCTCCTGCCTCTCAGCTCAGTGGCCAATACCTGCTGCTTCCCACAAAGGAAGAGTGTAGAGGGACACCTGGATACGTCTGGGCCACAATTCCACAGAAGCATCCCATGGCGTATACACATTAAGATAATCACAATAAAAAGCTATAGTTTATTAAACCTCACTCTATGCCTGGCACAGTGCTAAGTTCATTATATGTATTTAATCTTCACAACACCCCTAAGGATTGGGAACTGTTTATATTGTTTCTATTTAACAGATGACAAAGCTGTGGCTTAGAGAGGGTAAGCAATTTGTCTAAGATCACACAGCTAGGAAGTGACAGTCAGGACTCAAAGCCAGGTCTGTCCTGTCAAACCCCAGAGCCTTGTCCCTCTACTTGTCCACCTGCATGGGACAGCCCCCACCTGCTTCTCCTGCTCTCCAGTACACCCTTGCACTCCACTCCCTCACCCAAAACAAGCTACCCCAACTACAGAAGAGTGTTTACAACTGGCCTGTTTTACTGTAATTCTCAACCCCATTCGCAAAAGAAAAATGACACAGTTCCTTTGTAAAGTTTTCAGCTGAGAAACCAACAGCCTTTTCCTTCTCCGTCCCTTTCCATTGGATGAGAAAACAGGCTCCCTTCTCTCTGGAATGATGTCAGGCTGGTGAACTCCAGCATCTGGAAGCAAATTATAGAACCTGCCAGGCAGCTGAGGCTCCTGAAGAGTTACTGACAGCTGAGAGTTACTGACAGCTCTGCAATCAGCTCAGACAGGGCAACAGAGCCAGGAGACATATTTCCAAGTCCCTTCTCGGGGCACCTCCCCAAGTTATCTCATGCAACCCTTACAAACTGCCCAAAGCCACCTAGTTAAGACATCGGAGATTCAGAATCCCAGCCAGGTCTTGTCTAACTCCAGAGCCCCTTGTGCTGGTAAACCCCCTAAGTGGAAGGGTGGGTTTAACTTAGCTGGGGAGAGCTTTGGAGACAGGTGAGTGGGAGACAGGGAGACAAACTCCACCACCTTTTTGTGTCTATAGAGGAGTAAGCACCTCCCAAGGGACCCCTGACTTATCAAGCAACAGAGGGTGCTGGTTAGGGGCCTGGCTTCAAAGCCTGGCTCCTAACTGTGGAACTTTGGAAATTTATAGGGTCATTATGAGGATTTAATGAGTTAATCCATGAAAAAGTGCTCATAAGGGTACCCAGCACCTAGTAAGTGCTCCCCAAAGCTAACCATTGGTATTATCATCAATAGAGAATAAGCATGAGACAAGCTATTAACAGTGCTTACCTTTTGGGGGTATGACTGGGCATAGAAGGAAAATTTTATCTCCTGCTCTGTTTATTTATTGATTTATTCATTTTGACAATATGTATATTACTTTCCTAATAAAAAGTCTAGTTTAAAATTTAAAAATGAACAAACACAGAAAAAAAAATCCTCTGAAGTTTCAGCACTTCTTGGCATTTTATGTTCCTCAAAGTAGATAACGGAGGGTGTTTCTACTGTGAGCCAGGAGTTGCCAAATAACTGATTCATTCATTTATTTTACAAATATTAATGGAGTGTCAGGCGCTGTTCCAGCTGTTGGGGATTTAGCAGGGAACAAAACAGATCATCTCTGCCCTTCTGGAGTTTCCATTCTACCTGAACTTAATTAATCTCCTCTGCAATTCTCAAGGATGAGCAATTTACAGATAGGCAGACCAAGGCGGCCCAGCAAGGGGAAGTCACTTGCTTGCATCCCGCAGCTGGAAGCAGAGATACAATCTTCCAGGTCAGGCTGTTTCTACCACTGCGGGAGAGGGCAGGTCTGTGAATGGCAAGTTTGGGGCTGGTGACCCCAAGAGGAGAGAAGCAAGATGAATGAAGAAGTCTGCATATCCAGGCTCAAAGCTTCACTCTGCATTATTGTACACACTTGTGAAGGAGAGGTAATGGATGCAGGCAAGCGCGGAGACGCAGATCACGGAGGCATGTTAACTCACACTCAGACTCGAGTTTTGCCCACAGAGGTCCCCATGCACCTCTATGTAGGGGAGCAGCTCAAGCTTTAAAACCCCCTGGTTGCTGGACCTCAGCTCTAGGGGACCCTGGCTTCTCCTTCATTACCTGCCCAAATTCACCTTCCAGAGCCTGGATTGAAGGGCAGAGCCGGTCCCCTTCAGCCCCTGAATTCACTCCACAGGCTTCCCTGAGTTCCAAGAACCTGAGCACAGTCACTTCCATCATGGCCATAGTGTCCCCAGGTGCTCCCATCCTCCCTCAGGTCACCTAAGTATCCCCACCCCCATCAGTGCCAGCCCAGGTTGGTCTGCCTGTCTCCACCCCTGATGCTCTGGTGGAACAGTGGCCGTGGCCGCAGCTAAAGCAGGGAGGGCGGTCCAGCACCCGGTTGGTCAGCCTGGCCCAGTTACCTGGCAGCTCCTTGTGACCCTCTCCAGAGAGGTGGCTCTCCATTCCCAGGCCTGCCGAGTCGGGTGGGGGGTGGGGGTGGGGTGGGGGTGTGAAGGGAGGCAGAAACGGCACAAAGGAGTGAACGGCTCTTGGAGTCTAAGATCCCACCACACATAGATGAGCACAGAGCAGAAATCGTCAGAGGTCTAGAGACATACCAAAGAGAAACCCGGAGAGAAACACACCCGCAGAGACTTTGTGAGAAACACTCACAGGGGCGGAGACCCGAGGCAGAGACCTGGCGCAAGGGAGACCCACGCAAAGGAGTGATCTAGAGGAAAACACACAGCAGGGACCTCAACGGGTCCACAAACCAGCCCCGGACACACCCCCAGTCCCAGCCAGCCAGTCTCACAGCACCCCCCCCAAAAGGAGGCCACTGGCACAGTGCGGGCCAGACGCGTGGAGCCCCAGGCATGGGGCGGACCGGGGACTCGCGCACAGGGCGCACTCCGGGACCCGGGAGCGCCGAGAGAGAAGCGCACACAAAGAGACAGCCGGGCCAGCAAGAGCAGGCTCCGCCCGTCCGCTCCGTGACTCCAGACCACCCCCCACCCGGGCACTCGCACCAGACATACACCAAGACACAGTACCCCACCCGCACGCCCCGGGACCCCGCCCTGGTCGCCCGGGTGCGCGGCGCTCACCAGCTGCAGGCAGCAGAAGGCTACAAGCGTGCAGCGCCCGCTGCACTTGCCCATGGCTCCAGGGGCCGCGCGGGCCGTCCGCCGCTGCGACCCTCTAGCTCGGCGGCCGCCGCCTCCTCGGTGCCGCGCGGGCTCCGCGTCCTTCCCGCTGGGCGCCCCGGGCGGCGGGGCCGGGCGCCTAGGGCCGGGCCCGGGAGCGCCGGGTCCTCAGGGCTGGGGCGGGCCGCCGGCGCTCTGAGTCCATGGTCCGTGAGCCCGCGCGCTGGCCCTGCCGCGCCGCGCCTCCTTTGTCTGACCGGCCGGCCACCAGGCGCGCCTCCTGCCCCGGGGCCGCTGGCGGGGAGCACCGAGCAGGGAGCGCAGGCACCGAGCGCTGCGCAGCGCAGAGCAGCACTGCCCAGCTGGGGCAGCCGCCCGGGCGCTCCGCGGCCGCGGCTTCCCGGCCCCACCACGTGGCTCTGCTGCCGTCGCCGCCAACGAAGGAGGGAGGAAGGGGAGGGGAGGGAAAGGGAGAGGTGGGGCGGGGCGGCCGCGGGAGCGACGGAGAGGTGGGAAGGGGTAGGGAAGTGGACAGAGTTAGGGGAGAGGCAGGGAGTGAAGTGGGAAGAGTGCAGGCTTGGGGGCTGACAGCCCTGGGTCAAACCCAGATTTCACTGCTCACTCACTCTGTGTGACCTTGGGCAAATCACGTCACCTCTCTGGGCCTCAGTTTTCTTAAAGTAGGGATAATAATGTCTGCTTCAGTGTTGCCAGGAAGATGAAATGCATTTATGTGAACAAAGCACTTAGCCCTGTGCCTGGCCTCCTGAAGGCGCTGGAACACTCCTCTGTCCACCCTGTCCCTAGGACTTCAGGGTTCCAACCATGGCCCTGTAGTTCCTCTCATTCCCAGTCCCCAGATCTGCTCCTTATCCCAGGCTGCCTCCTGAGTGCCTGGTCCCATTTCCTCCCTTCCCTCACTTCTTCTACTGGTATTTACTGTGAGCCCTGACTGCTTACACACCCCCGGGGGCCCTGACATCCAGAGATGAGCCCTGCAGTGCTGTTCCAGAATCCACTGAGCTTTCCAATCAGGCTCCCAGGGCAGGTCTGCGCAGGGGGTTATGGCCAGCCCCTAACCCAGGCTGCAGTGGGGAGTCAGGAAGGGCTTGCCAGCGGACGGCTGCTTTCTCCAAGAGGCCTCCCCCAAAAGCATTCAACTCTCAAAACACATCCCAAATCCATTTAAATCCTCCCTGTGCCACTCCTAACTTAGAGTCATCTAGGTGATTAGCACCACTCAGGTGGGAATCCCTGCATCACCCTCCGGCCTTCTCTAACCCCTCTGACCTGTCATTACATTCTGTGAGCTGTACCTTCCAGCTAATATCTATGAAATACCTACTATGTGCCAGGCACTCCGCTGGGGATATGGGATGCACCAGTCTCTGCACTCACTGAGAGGACAGGCTAGTGAGGGATTGTCATTAAAAAAAGGAAAGACACAAATAAATACATAATCACAAATTCTAGGGAGTGTCTTAAAGAGATAATAAGGGGGGCATAATTCAGGTTTGGAGACCAGGATAGACCTCCTTGAGTACATTGATACTGAGAGACAATAGGAGGGAAGGAGGCAGAGGGGTGGAAAATTGTGTGCTAGCAGAAGCAGAATGTTTCTTATTCTTGCTCTTCCTCTCCACTCTCATTAGCCCTATTGATACCGAAGGCAGTACCATATAGATTAAGACCATGGTTTGGACCAAAACTGCCGGGTTCTTGTCCCAGCACTGCCACTTGTATGCTGCTTACATGAAATCAATCAAATGCATTATGATATTCTCCTAGGACTAGCTACGTAATTTGTGGGATCCAATGCAAAATAAAAATGCAAGCCTCCTTGTTAAAAAATTAAGAATGATGACACAGCAGAGCATTAAACCCAGCACAGGGAGGGCCCTGTGCAACTGAAGCCAGCCCCATCTCCTTCCTGGACTATTAAAATGGCCTCTTCACTCATCTCCCTCCGGCACCCATTCCTCAACATGTCACTTGGTACTTGAAAGCACGCAGGATACTTGTAGTGTTGAAACTACAGGTGCTGAGGTTTTCACCTGGAATAAGCTGAGATAATAGCGGGAAGTTTTCTCAGCCACGCTTGGGTTAGTAACAGCTGTTTCCTACCAGCTTCCATGACTAGACAGGCTTCCAGCAGGCTGAGGTCCTTGAAATAATACACAAAGCTTCATGTGAGCAGATGTGCCTTTTTCTGGGGAGAGTGTCCTCAGCTTTCATCAGATTCTCCAAAGAGTCCATTTCCCACAAAAGAATCAGAACCAGTCTACAAAGGATCAGCCCAGCTGTAACAGCTCTCTACCAGGTTCTCTTTGGGGCCTCTTCCAGATAGAGCCTCTGCCAGGTGCTTCTGTGACACTCACAGTGCTATCCAATAATAACAATAACAGCTACCATTTATTGAGTGCTTACTCTAAGCCAGGCACTCAACTGTGACCTGGGGGAGGTGCCCCTCCTTTGGGCTCCCATGTGGCCTGTGCTACCTTTATTATAGCTTTTCCTGAGATTTACTGTACTTGTCTGATTTTGTTTGTTTCCCCTCATAGAGTGTGAGCTCTTCGAGGACAGCGACTGTGTCGTAAATTATCTCTGTATCCCACAGGGCGTGGATCATGTCAGCAGTCAGCAAACATGTGGTAAATGAATGACCTTCCCAGCCTCGGGCCCCAACACACCGTGTGACCTCTACCACCTGTAAGTCCAGAAGGTTCTAAGGGAGGGCAATCGAATTGTAGGAACAGATGGAAACATCTTTGGCAAGAAGTTGGCGGGGGGAGGGGGTGGGGTGGTTAGAAGCTGGGGATGACATCAGTAGAAGCTTGTAGTAGTCAACATGAAGGATGACTAACTCCTCAACTAGGGCAAGATTGTGGGAAAAACGAAGCAGAATTTAGTAATAAAGGACAGAGATGATTCAGAACATGCCCACGCCTCCTGAGAAGGCAGAATCATGGTCAGCAGCACAGTAGGAGCTGCTGAAATGATGAGACTTGTGGGGTGTTAAGTTCCTCCCTTGTCCTAAACCAAGGCTAGTCAGTGTCTGAATCTTCCGCTATGGTTTCCTCTATGGGTTAAAACACTGAAACCTTCTGAGAAAGTTCACTCATAAGATAGAAATGTTTAACCCATTTCTCCTTTTTCCAAGTTAGATGACCTAATGTGCTCACTAATTATAGTTTTTGGGGTGTTTTCTGACACCAACCGATTCTCCAACACCAGCTGGTTGTCCAACAATTTGATTCAATGCTGACGCTACCTGGAGTGAGTGTAGACTCGCAGCCACTTCAGATGCCAGTTGCAAGTCTTTGGCCACCCCTCCTTTTAACCAGCTACATATAAATCGAGGGTTCCCACAACTCCCCCCCACCTTAGGTTTGGTAATTTGCTTGTGAACAGCTCACAGAACTACTTTACTTACCTTTACTAGATTATTATAAAGGTTACAATGAACAGCCAGATGAAGAGGTATATAGGGCAAGATCTGGAAGGGTCCTGGGCACCTCTGTCCCTGTACAGTTGGGGTGCGCCATCCTCCCAGCATGTTCACCAACCCAGAAGCTGCGCTGGATCTCATTGTTCAGGAGTTTTTATAGAGCTCAGTCTCCAAGCTGCAAGTTCCCACTCTCTAATCACTTGCTCTTTCTGGTAACCAGGTACATCCTGAGTCTATCTAGGAGTCCCATCCTAAGTCACCTCATTAGAATACACTCAGGGGGCCGGCCGAGTGGAGCATTGATTAAGAGCTGGCTTGGGACGCCAGCTCTGAGCAGCAGAACCCCGGTTCGGATCCCACATGAGGGCCAGTGACACTGCACCCTCTACAGCTAAGATGGTGAACAACAGCTCGACCTGGAGCTGGGCTGCCGTGAGTCGCCAGCGTCGGCAGCGTCGGGGTAGGCTGCA